AAATAAATGCCCAGTGACTACTGGCTTTTTAAATAAATTCCCAGCTAGTAAATATGTTTAAGTGCTAGTAAATCTGCTAAATCTTTTACATTCATCATGATCATTATGTTTAATTTCCACAACTCCTCCCATTTTACAGGTGAGAAAACAGAGGCTCACATAGGTGAAGTGACTTGCTCGAGGCGACAGGACTTCCTCTCGGTTTATGAGGCCCCTGCCCCACCCCCTGGCAGCCGACCCTGGGGACTCAGGTCACACCACAGCCAGGTACTGACTGCAAGTCCCTGCTCACCAAAGGTGGACCATGAGTCCCCTGGGGGAAGAAGCCCCCAAGTTCAGCTGGGCTGGGGCCCTGGCACATCTAGGACCTCATCCCTCCAGTGCCCTTGAGCTTCCTCTTGAGCCCTGGTTACCAGAAGCCCTGGCCCAGGTGGGGCGGGGGCCAACGGGTGACAATGACCGATTTAGAAAGTAAAGTTGCTTCTCAAACAAATAAGAAAGAAGAGGAAAGAAAGAGCCGGCCTGCCCGCTTCCTGCCCCACTCTCTCCCAGCACCTGGGGCCCAGCTGTTGGTTTTCACTGCGTGTTTGCTCATCCTGCCGGAGGAGGCCCTTCTTAAAGCCCCAGGGCCCTCCCCGCAGGAGATGGATGATTACTGAGCCCGTGGAGATGTGGCAGGCTTCTTGCTGCTGCATGGTATTGTCTTGAGCATTGTTTCAAACAACAATACCCATGATCATCCCACCCCGTTTCCTGCATTTGGGAGAGGGGGCTGCCAGCTCGGCTTGGGCGCAGCCTTCTTGGCTGTGCACTGTCTGAGGTCTGGAGGCCTGAGCGGGTCACTCCTTCTCTCTGGGCCTCCATTGCTTTGTCTGCAAGATGGGGATGGGTGAGGTGAGGGTTACTGAGGCCAGCATGGCATAGAAAGCCCAGAGCACAGCGGCTGTGACAGCTGCTCTTTTGGATCCCTGTGGAAGCCAGGGTCACCCAGGGACACAATCCAAGAGCCTCCCTGGATGTGTTGGAAAGCTTTTGGACTCAGAGAGGCAGAGTCACTGTGGCTGCTTCAGTGCATTTCACCTAGACCTCAATCAGAGGGAGCAGAGGTGACAGCCGTCCCGATTCTATAGCAGAGGAAGCAAGACACAGACAAATGACCTGTCCAAGGCCGGCAGAGCTGGTGGGTGCAGATCTGGCTGCACCCCACCTGCCTGGCTCCACCGTGTGCTCAGAGCTGCCCTGGCATGGGTGGGGGTATCTCTGAGGCTCTGCTTTGCTTTGTGACCCTGGACAAGTCACTTGCCTGGGTTCTCATCTATGAGACAAGCAGCCCAGATACCTGCCCCCAGAACTGACAATCCTCAGGGAGCTTCGCGCTCAGAGCAAAACAAAGAGTGACCACGCCAGGGACCGGGAAGCCAGGGCTGCTGGGCTATAATTAGTGTTAATTTTAAAGTCACAGGCGAGAGCCCAGCCAAGAGGATGCTGAGGGCCTGCCCAGCTCTGCACATCTAAATCCTGTGGTTGCAGCTGGGGAGTGATTCCGGGAGGCACCTGGTGAGAGGTGGCTCCACCCGTTGGGGCTAAAAAAAAAATCCCTGAGTCTGCCACCGTGCAATCTGCCAGTCACCTGCTCTGACTAATGGCAAACTCTCCGACCCTGCTTCTCTGCCTCCACTTCACCCCCATAAGCTGTGTGGCTCTGGAGAAATCCGTTGACCTCTCTGAAACTCAGGTGGGGGACATTGGCCTTGCAGAGTTTTCCACAGTAGAAACAATGCCTTACCATACAGTGTTGCTAAGAGACCGTGAGGACCTGGGCGCTGGGGCCCACCTGTGCTCCAGACCCGGCACTGCCACTTCCTGTTGTGTGATGTTGGGCAGGTCACTTGGACTCTCTGAGCCTCGGTTTCCACCACTTGAGACACAGTAGTGCTTCAGGAGTAATAACTGGTTGGTGAGACCGTTTACTGTGCTTGAGAACAATTTGCAGAGATCCTCAGACACGCTGGGGTCCTGTGCTCTCTCTTATGCAGCACCTCTCTGTTTTCCCCTCCAGAACTTCTCTCTGCCCTGGTTAACCTGTTCTGTGCCCTGATGGGTGACCTCTGCAGGTGACATCAATACCCTTTATCCTCTGCATTCTGGTTGAATGGGGAGGCTGGGAAGAGGACAGGTGGCGAGTGGCACTGGTCTTTATTCCCCTGGTTCCTTCCTGCACGATTGCCCCACAGTGCTGTGTCCCACCCCCTACAGCTCCTGTGGGTGGCCCTGTGCCTTCATCTCTGGCCCAGGTCCAGGTAACTTCTCCCTCCCACCCCTAGGCCAACATGGTAACAGCTTCCGTGCTCCATGGTACCAGCCCTGAGACAGTGCGCCATCCTTCCTGCTATCCTGAAACCCTGCCCAGGCCTTGGCTGATTGTCCTTGATTCAATTCTTTTCAAATTAGTCAGTTTGGGACAGGCACGATGGCTCACAGCTGTAATCCCAGCAACTCGGGAGGCTGAGGCAGGAGGATCTCAAGTTCAAAGCCAGCCTCAGCTACTTAGCAAGGCCCTAAGCAGCTTAGTGAGACCTGTTTCAAAATAAAAAAAAAAATTTAAAAGGGCTGGGGATGTGGCTCTGTGGTTAAGCACCCCTGGGTTCCATCCCCAGTACAAAAAAAAAAAAAAATTAAGCCAGTTTGGGTGTGCATCTCTTTCCTGCCTCTGGGCCCTGGTGTGGCTTTGATGTGACATGTGTTGTGTTCATCTAGGACTCCAGGGATGGTCAGATAATAAAAACCCATACAGCTTTCACGAGTATCTATTTACCACTGTATCCACTTCTGCTAAGTGTTTGCCATGTGCCAGGCTCCATGCAGGGAGCCAGGGGTACAGATGACCAAGGGACAGTGTCTTACTGAGCTCCTGGGCTGGTGGCACACCTGCACAGCCAACTACAATATGAATAGCTCAGAGCCTTAATGGAGACACATACAAGCCCTGTGGCAAAGTGGAACAAAAGCCACCAACCTGGGAGAGGCTGGGAAGGCTGCAGAGCCTTTTGAGCAATATCTGTGCGCGGGTGCGCTCGCTCTCGTTCTCTCTCTCTCTCTCTCTCTCTCTCTCTCTGTATTAGGGGTTAAACTCAGGGGTGCTCAACCACTGAGCAACATCCCCAGCCCTTTTTTAAATATTTTATTAGAGACAGGGTCTCACTGAGTTACCTAGGGTCTTGCTAAGTTGCTGAGGCTGGCTTGAACTTGAGATCCTCCTGCCTCAGCCTCGGGAGCCGTGAGCCACTGTGCCCAGTCTTTTTTCTCTTTTCATAATGTGTTTTATTTAGCCCAATGTTTCAAAATGTTGTCAATTATGATCCAGACACAAAATCTTGAGGTTTTTACATTCCCCCTCCCCAAGTCTTCAAGCTCCTGTGTGTGTTTGACACTCGGCGCATTGCCACTCAGACTGACCACATTTCTAGGGCCCAGCAGCCACGAGAGACAGGCAGCCGGGTGGCATTTGATCCGATCCTCACGACGGCTCTGGGAGGTAAATGGTGCTGTTCTTCCATTTGACAGATGGGGAGAAGGGACTCCAAGGCGTTAAGTCACTCACCTAAGGTCATTGAAACTCCCTGGGTTGAAACCCACATCTCTGTCTCCAAAGTCTGTCCTCTGGACTGGCTTCTCATCCCCAGGGGGCAGCAGTTGGCAGGCGGAAAAGCCAACACGGACCCGAGGTCCTCGGACTCCATCCTGGAATGCGCCTCCTGTCACTGCCTCTGTGAGGTGGAGAAAGGGGGACGGCAGTCATCCTTCAAAATGGGTTCTGATCCTGTTCTTCTGGAATCCCCGAGATGCCCTGGAGCAGGGTGGCAGGAGAGAGCGGGAGATTGCTGGCGAGCCGAAGGATGCTCTCTGGAAGGGCGAGGGTGCTACTGGGGAGAGGCTCAGGCTGCCCCGGATGGGGGGGAGGTAAAGCAGGTCCATCAGGCCCATCAATGTAGCCGGCAGGAGCCTGGAGCCGTGGCACACGCTTGTCATCCCAGTGACTCAGGAGGCTGAGGCAGGAGGATCCCAAGTTCAAGGCCAGCCTCAGCAATTTAGCAAGACCCTGTTTCAAAATAAAATGGGCTGGGGCTGTGCTCTGTGGTAGAGTGCCCCTGGGTTCAAACCCCAGTACCAAAAAAGTAGCCGGCAGATCAGCTTTGCCAGGGTCACAGGCAGCGGTTCCTTCCCAGCCCAAACACCCAGAACCGCTTGCTCCTGGAGCCTAGTGGGGGGCGGAGAGTGTGCAGGAACTCGGCCGGGTGTTCTCAAACCAGGCGCTGGGGGAGCTAAAATGGGACCACGACGTTAAGGTGTTCTGATGGGCAGGCCCCAGGCCTAACATGGAGAGAGTCCTGGGAGCTCCCAGGCCTGGTCCAGGCTCTGGAGGGAAACCGGAGCCCTGGAATTCTGGAAGCCAGGCTGAGTCTGTGACTCCAGGGTGGATGTCTGGTGCTAAAAACAGTGACCAGTGGCTGCTTACCCACCGGCCCCTTCCCAGTCTTCACTCGGCATCTGTCCCCTAAGATCCTCCATCCACACCCCGAGAGCCCACCCCACCCTTCCTGCCCCTGCTCCTGTCGCCCCCCCAAGACCCCACCCACTCTGCACGTGGCCTGTGTGGGATGGGGGACCTGCAGCCCCGAGCAGCGCCACATCTTGCCTTCAGACCTGGCGAGATGACAGGCCCTTCGTCTGAGCAAAGGAGGCAATGTGGGAACAGAGGGTCCCCAGAGCAAGGGACACCCATGATGCCTCCTAAAGCCAGAGGAAGGAAGACTGGCTGAGGAGCCAGGCAGTGAGTCGGGTGGGCAGGGACACCACAGAGCCTGCAGAGGAAGCGGATGGGAGGCCACCAAGGAGGAGGGCTGGCCTCCAGCCAAGACTTCCAGGGTTCTCACGATGTCCACCTGGGAGTCTGCAGCAGCCCGGCCCTCTCAGCTCGGCACAGCGTGTCCAGTGTCACCTGGAAGGCATCAGGGTTGGTACCTTTATTGTAGGCTCCAGAAAGTCCCATGCAGAGTTAAGGGGGTCAGAAGTGAGTCTGGTGACCTCGTCCCTTGACTCTACCCTTCTCTCCCCCACATCAGCTCAGCTGGTGTCAGATCGCTCTCGAAACCCCCAGCACCTGACTCAGTGCTGGGCCCAGAGCAGGGGACCTTCCCGACATCTGCGGGGCCCCTGTGCTGTCCCCACACATGATCAGATGAGCAGGGATGGTGGCACTCCCTGGACTGTTGGTGTCAGCCCTACAGCAACCCCAGGGGACTGGACCTGCACGGCTTGCCCAGAGTCACATGGTGACCACGGTCCTGACTCTACATCCTGTCCCTGGTCCAAGACATTTCTGACACCTCATGTAGCCATCTAGGCCTCCAGTGGATCCTGTGCCATTGAAGTCCGGGGCTCCAGACGGGTCAGTTCAGCAGGGACAGGAGCCAAGCAGGACGGGGAGGGGGTGTGGTGGGGAGGACCAGGGAAGGGACCTTGGAGATTGTTGTCATCTGCAACCTGCTCTGCCGCACCCAGCTCACCCAGCGGTGGAAAGTGTGTGTCAGAGGAAGCTGCTGCCTGGGGACTGGGGGGTGTGCGTGGGTGACAGCATGTGGGGTCACACAGGAGGCAGGATGTGCGGAGCTGGGGGCCAGGTCCCCGAGCTGGAGCAGGCCTGGGGTCGTGCCCGTCCCGCCGCGCCCTGTCCTGGGGCTCACTTTCTCCCACTTTCAGTTCCAGAGGAGGGGCAGGCCGTCCTGCGACAGCCGTCCCGGAGCCTCTGGGGTCACTGCCAATATTCTGCTCCACTTCGTAAATAAATATTTCCGAAGCACCTACTGTGTGCTCAGACATGGGGCTGCAGTCCCCCCTTCTCCACCAGGGGAGGCGCACAGGTGGAGACAGGAGGAGGCAGGTGCGATGCTCCTGGGTGACACCATCCAGTGGGGTCGGGGGCGGCCACCAGGGAGGCGCCTGGAAGCCGAGCAGGAGGGAGGGAACCGTGACAGCCCTCCAGTGCTCACTGCCACCCAGAGGGAAGGACTCAGCCCTCGAAAGGCCCCCCATGGGGGCCCATTTCCCAGGTGGGGACACTGAGGCCTCGAGAGATCAGAACTTGCCCGAGTGATGTTTCCAGATGCCAGGAAGCAGCAGAGGCAGGATTTGAAACCCGGCCACCTGCTCCGACCTGCTCCACTGAGGAAGGGGAAGTGGGAACAGGTGCTGGGGTGGGGGGGGGCAGCAGGAGGCTGGGCCAGGGGAGGCCTGCGGAGCTGGGGGCCAGGCCAGCAGAGTCCCTGAAGCACTGCCCTGGGGAGTGCTCTGTGTCCATTCTAGAAAAATACCCTCCTTCAGAGGGGAGCACAGGGTCTAAACAAGCAAAAATCCAGTGTGATTTAACTCCAATGTTCTCTTTGTTTCTTAGAACTTCTGTGACAAAGTATCACAAACTGAGTGCCGTAGCCCAGCGGGCTGTTTGTCTCCAGCTCCGAAGGCCAGCAGACTGACCAGGGTACCTGGAGCCGTGTCCCCCTGACAGCCAAGTCCAGTCCTTCCTCGCCCCTCCCCAGCTGCCGCTGGTGGCCGTCAGCCCGGGCCTTCATGGGTATCCAGCCATATTGGATCCAGGCCCCCTCTGCCCCCCCCATTAGTCTGTCCTCATCTGAACTGGTGACATCCGCAGCAACCGCGTGTCCAAATCGTCACGTTCTGTGGTACTCAGTGTGAGGACTTCAACATATCATATGGTTCTGGAAGACACACCTCAATCCATAACAGATGAATCTGGGGAAAAAAAGAAAAAAAACCCAAAACTATGCAGGTCATATGTCCAAGTCTGAGATTCAGAAAATATGGCCTTGGGGCTGGCTCAGGGGTAGGCATGTGCTGAGTTCAATCCCCAGCTCAAAAAAGAAAGAAAAAGAAAGCATGGGCCTAATATATCTGTCTGCTACACAAATATTAAAGTACTTTGCTTTAATGGGTACTATATAAATGTTTGAGAGATACTTGACTTGTGGTCCCTTAAGGCCCTTAGATCTTTCTTTAACAAGTCAGAAGAATAAAATAAAAGTCCCCGGAGAACAAAGTGCACTGCCCTTTGTCCTGGATGCCTGACAGGCAGCTGTTCACTGACCTTAGCCTTCTCTCCTCTGTGGGCACCAGCTTGGGGAATGAGCCAGTCCTGAGAAGGATGGACGAGGCCTCTGTTCCCTTCCTCACTGGACTGAGCAGAACCCACAGTCCTCAGTCCTCTCCCTTGCTTCCCCATTCCACGAGGCTCAGACTGTTCCTCTCGGACAAATCCCCATGCTGCATGCTCACACCTAGACCTGGCTCCTTTACCACGAAGCTGTTGCTCTTCAAACTGACTTCCTCGCCACCCGCAGGGAATCAGTGTGTTCTAACATGAGTCTGATCACCTCCTTCTGGGCCCCCAACTCTCCATGCTCCCTATTGTCCTAAACTCCCCATTTCAGGGTTTGTAGGAGTTGGTCCCCAGGAGTCTACCCAGGCCTGCTGTCTCACAAGCCCTGGAGGTCACACAACTTGCATTTAAAAGAGACTGAAGGGTGGGGAGGCTCCCCGCGAAGCTCCTTCTAAGTGACTTCAAGTGCTTTCCTCTGCATCCACAGCTTTGCCATGCTAATCCCTCTCCAGAGAGCCCCCTCCCCGCCCGCCCACTCTTCATCACCTCATTGTAAGACGCCTTGATCCTGATCGCACGACAGAGCGCCTCTCCCTCCTCTACAGCTCTAGGATTTGGGCTAAATTTTTGTCCCCCTCTTTGGTACTGGGGATTGAACCCAGGGGCACTTTACTACTGAGCCACATCCCCAGACCTTTTTATTTTTTTTATTTTGAGTCAGGACCTCACTAAATTGTGAGGCTGGCCTCAAACTTGTGATCCTCCTGCCTCAGCCTCCTGAGTTTCTGGGATGACAGGCGTACCTCACAGGGCCTGGCTTTGGATGCACTTCTTCACGAAGCTCGTTCCACTGCACTGTGTGCTAGAGAATTTGCTCCCCTTACCTGAGAGCCAGGTACTAGCCCCAGGCCTGTGACTAAATGTCAGGGACAGCAGGTGAGAAAAACGCCAGAATGGAGAGACAGCTGCTAACTGTCTTTGTCAGTCTTGCTGTGTGACCTTGGGCAAGTCACTGTTCCTCTCTGGGCTTGTTTCCTCTTTTAGAGTGGAAATGTAGGGAAAGATATCCAAACAGGTATGAAGGCAGGAGCAAAATTCCTCTGTCTATCCCAGGTCTGGCCAGACCCTGATGGTCCTGCAAACAAAAGCTACCGGAATCCTTTATTTTGCATCAATTTGCAAGTATTTGTATGCACACTATAAGAGGCACCCCTACATTTCATTCATAGAAGGAACTGTGGCTGTCATCTAATTGATGCCCAGGGATGGAAAAGACCCACTGGTCATGGTTCCATGCAAATCTTACCTGACAGAGGCCTTTACTCATTAACAGTCCAACCCCCTCCTTTTACAGATAGGTAACTGAAGCTCAGAGAGGGAAAGTGAGGAGCCCAAGGTCACACAGCAAGTGAGATGCATAAGACTTCATCCTGGGCTTCCTTCTGCCTGTCAGGGGCTGGCGCCAGCTGGACCAAGGGGGGCTTGGTTTTCTTTTGAGGTCCTTCTCCACTCCCCCAGAATAACAAAGCTGGCTAGTGTGGCAGCCTCCACAAGCAGCACAGGAAACCAGATTGGTGTAGTGAGGCCGGTGGGGGTGGAGGAGCCTCTCAGAGGTGGCTTAGCGTTGCTTTCACCTGTTCTAAAAATAACGCACTATTAGAGATCCGCAGATGACGGGGTGGCCCGCAGGTTATTCCGCTGAGGGGAGAGGAGAGAGTGGATCCATGTGAACAAAAAGACAGCTGGGCCACTGCGGGCGGGTGACAGGTGGGGGGCCCTGGCTGGGCCCAGGAAACTCAGTGGGCAGCCCCTGTGCACAGAGGGGCAGGAGGGGGCTCGGGGCAGGCACTGGGCTAGGGGACAGCAGCCCCGGGGAACAGGCCAGACTTGGATGCTGCTTCTGGGACAACCAGGTCCAAGATCTAACAGGTTCAGCAGGTAGAACCCCGAGAGTGAGACAGGCACCGAGGGAAACAGCAAGAGATAAGACCACGGAGACCCCTTGGGCCAGGGTGGGCAGGGAGGCCCTGGAAGGAGTAGATAGAGAAGGGAGACCCTTGGAGAAGGGAGGGAGGGGGCACCTTCAGGGGCGTGGCTCAGGGAACCCAGGCCCACGGGGAAGAGGGTGTGGACCTGCCCAGAGAGGTCAGAAGGGGGCAGCGTGGGACCTGCGAGCTCCGGGAACTGCTCAGGCTTCTGGCTGATTCCAGATCCATAGGAAACCACTGAAGCCAAACTTTCAGCAGGGAAATGGGGGTGGGGGGGATGGGGCATGGGGTTGCCTCTCAAAAGGCCTGCTCTGGCCAGGCGGGTGGCGTAAGGATTAACTGGTCTAGAAGGCCTGTCAGTTCAGGGGTGGTGGTGCACACCTGTGATCCCAGCAACTCAGGGAGGCTGAAGTAGGAGGATCTCAAATCAGAGGCCAACCTCAGCCACTTAGCCAGACCCTGTCTCAAAATGAAAAATACAATGGGCTGGGGATATGGCTCAGTGGTGGTGTGCTCCTACATTCAAGCCCTGAGTATAAAAACAAACAAACAAAAAAAACCACCAATTAGGCAGAGGACATTGTATTCAGGCAGGAGTGATGGGGTGATGGTGACCTAGACAGAGTAAGGGAAAACACAGAGCTGGATAGCTTCAACATTTGTTCTGGAGACCACGTTCACAGGAGTTGCAGACAGGTTGGACTGGGGTTAGGGCGGGGGACACACAGGTTTCTGGCCTGAGCACCTGCTGCAGTCAGCTCCCCAGGGGGACCTGCAGGCTCAAAGGCCAGGTGTGGGAATCTGGTTTGGGGCAATAAGATTGATAAGATTTAAGCAGCTGCAGACAGCGAGGTCCTGCCCCACGCAGCTCTGCAGGCCCCAGCCGTCTGCAGGAGGCATTGCTTCTCCCACCATGAACCCAGTCCAAGCTGTGAGCCCCAAGAAGCCAGGGACCAGCCTGCTTTGTCCCCAGCACCTATGAAGACACCTTGCACATAGTAGGTGCTCAACAAAGAGTTGGGCGGTAAATGAGGCGAAACCACCAGCTGCATGAATGGGCGCACAGACATGGTGCTGTTTAGGATCCCGGAGGCCCTGCAGCAGGTGTCTAGTAAACATTTAGGGACTTCTCTGACTTCTCTTGTCCCACCCACCTCCAGTCAGAGCCCTGCAGCGTGGCCTTCCTCTTAGGCCAAGCCAACTTTCTCAAGCTCGTCCCCTGCCCACCCCTCCCGTCACTGCCTGGTCTGGACCCCCAGCATCTGACTGCTGTGCCCTTTCTGGGTGTTCTTCCTCAGAGACCCTGAAAACACAAAGGGGCAGGTGGCCTCTCCCCTGTGCTACCCAGGACACCCCCCCACAGGGGCCTCCCTGCCTCCTCCTGTCCCTCCACCCTCCACACTTCAACAAGGGTGGCTGGGGAACAGTCAAACCCTGACCTGTCCCCCCCACCCCGGTTTACCCCCTCCCTCCCCGCCTTGGCTATAGCATCGTGACGTCACAGCCACGCCTGAACTTGCCCCCGAGTTCCAACGGCAGCCTCAACTCCCTGGGCCTCCTCTGAAATCTTGGCCACAGCTCCCAGGAGCACCCAGGCTTTCCGTCCCCTCTGCCCCCTCGGCCAGGCTCACCCTTCCTGCGCCTGGTCCAGTCACACTCGCCCTTGGCCATCCAGCTCCTAGTCGTCCTCCGCTGCAGTCCCTCAGGCCACCCCTGCACTCCACGGGGACTTCATCGGCACTCGTGATAAGAACTGCATTTACTGAGCCCCTGCTATGTGACAAGGAATCGTTTAATTCTCACAATCACTTTAGGAGGTCATTATTGTCCCCATTTTACAGATTTAAGAATCTGAGGCCCAGAGAGATTAAGTGACTTGCCTGTGGTCACACAGCCAGCAAGTGACAGAGCCAGGTCTGAACCTAGGCAGGCTGGCTCCTGAGCTGCCATCTCGGCTGGTATGTTTGAAAGCTGTGACCGATCCCATGGCATGGGCCTGCTGGCTTGTCTGTCTCTTAAGGACAAGAACTGTGTCTCATGGCTCCTTACCCCTCACATCTGGCACAGCAGCTGGCACAGGTAGGTGCTCAATCAAGCCTCCCTTGGAAGAGCCTGAGGGAGTGGTACTTGTCATTACGGTGCTTTGCAGCTTGGAGCCTACACAATCTCATTCACTTTCTCAATGACACTGCTGGGCAGGGAGTATTAGACCTATCGGTCAAGTCAGGACCAGAGAGGTCAAGAAACTTGCCCAAGTCACCCAGCCAATAACTGGTGGAGATGATTCCAATGACCAGGTGTCCTGACTCCAGAAACAAGGCCAAGAAGATGTTGCTGAACCCCTACCCAATGCCAGTCCCAGAGGACTGGAGGCTGTGCTGGGTCAAGGGTCATGAATTGCTTCTCCCAGTGGCCGGCAGGGGTTTGGGGGCAGGGGCCTGCTTCCCATCTTCTGGGCCCTCAGGGTCTAAGGCTCTTCAGGGCAGGAAACTCTTCCTTGTCACAAAGCTCCAGCACCCCCCCTCGCCCCCACGCCCCAGGCCACTGGGCTCCCCTCCCCCTGGAGGGCCCTGGTAAGAGCATCCGCCTGTCCCTGAGGATCCACGGGTTCAGCCCAGCAGCTGAGATGGATGTGCAGGAAGCAGTAACAATGGATGAAAGACCCTCTGTGCCCAGGTGGGTGGGGGAGGGAGCGGCAGGAAGTCAGATCCTCCTCCTCTGCAGGCCCAGCCGGGGGCTGGAGGGAGGCTGGGCATGCCAGACGCCGCGGGGGCTTATTTGGATTCCCCAGGGATCCAAGCTGGGGAGCCCTTTGCAAACAGCAGACCGCTGGCTCTTCTCCATGGGGTGCTGAGCTCTGGACCCCTGTGACAAGAATGTCACTTTCCTTCATCACCGTTGCTGTCCCCGGGGGCCCAGCAGCAGGGCTGGCAACACCGTAAGAGCAGGATTTGTTGAATGCAGAAATTAACCCAGCACTACTAATAACTACAGAATCACAATTTCACGTGGATTTGCTTGTTGGAAACAATAAAAGGGATTCCAGATGACTCCTTTCCCCTCCTGAGCTCCTTCCGCCTGGCAAGCTGGACCCTCCGCGTTTTACGAGGTCAGCTCCTTCTCACCTTCCAGCTGTAGCTCAAATGAAGCTCTTCAATAAAAGCCTGGGGGATTGGGCACGGTGGCACACGCCTGTAAATCCCAGAAACTCTGGAGGCTGAGGCAGGAGGATCACAAGTGTGAGGCCAGCCTCAGCAATTTAGCAAGACCCTGTCTCTAAAATATAAAGGGCTGGGGATACAGCTCAGAGGTAGAGCATCCCTGAGTTCCACCCCAGAACCAAAATAAATAAATAAATAACCAAGCAAGCTTTGGGGGCTGCTCTGACCCCCAGCTAAGGGAACCCCTTCCCTTGCCCCCTGGCTCTTGATCTCCTCTAAGGCACTTTCATGAGGGTTTAACATGGACCCTTATGTGTGAATCCCCCTCTCCCCCACAGGAAGGTAAGTGCTGAAGGGCTTCTTGCTCCTGTCCCCAGGGCCAGGCACTTAGATAATGCTCCATAAATAGTTAACTAGATAAAGAGATGACCAAGTGGATCTCGGGTAGGATGTCATTCCATCCTATGATGCTCTGCAAGCTGCTTCCTGGACGGGAACAAAGGGGGTCTTGCCCATGTGCTGAAAGACTGCAGAGCCCCAACCCACAGCCTCAGCGAGCAGCTCTTCCCCAGGTCAGTGACAGTGACAGTCACCAATCAGGGCTGCGCTTCCCCCACAACAATTATTGAGTTTCATCAAAATCTGAATACACGCCTGTATAGTGCCAGCAGTTTGGGAGGCTGAGGCAGGAGGACAGAAGTCCAAATCTAGCCTCAGCAACTCAGTGAGGCCTGAAGCCACTCAGTGAGGCCCTGTCTCTAAATAAAGTACAAAACAGGGCTGGGGACACCGCTCAGTGGCCAAGTGCCCCTGGGTTCCATCCCCCCATACAAAAAAACAAAAACAAAACAAAAAAACTAAATCTGCGCATGGGACTGTGAGAATGGCCACCGTCTGTCCAGCTTGCCACAGTGGTCGCTGGGGTGGGCTGGGCGGCTAACCTCACCTCTTCATTTCGAAGGTGGGAGAATCCGGGCCAAGACGGCCCAACCCAGGGCCTCACCAGCAGAGGGTCAGCAGGGCTGAGGCTCGGGAGCCCTTCATCCACCTCTTGCTCCTTGTTTTAACAGACACTCACGGAGCCCTGTTCTGTGACAGGCGGTACCCTGGGGACCCGAGACACAGCAGTAGCCAAAGGCTCTGGATTCAAGGGAGAAGGGCCAGCTGGGCCTCGGTGGCGCACACCTGTCATCCCAGAGGCTCTGGAGGCTGAGGCAGGAGGCTAGTGAGTTCAAAGCCAGCCTCAGCAAATGTGAGGCGCTAAGCAACTCAGTGAGACTTTGTCTCTAAATAAAATACAAAATAGGGCTGGGGAGGTGGCTCAGGGGTGGGGTGCCCCTGAGTTCAACTCCTGGTACCAAAAAAAAAAAAAACAGAAAAAGTCTGAGGAGGCCCAGCCGCCTGCCAGAGCCTCCCTAGTGACTTCTGCAGCCAAGTCCCCGCTTTGCCAAGGGAGAGAGCAGGCCGGGGGTGGAGGAAGGAGTGTTCCAGAATCTTAAAGGCAGAGAGACAGAGAGAAAGGCTGATTTGGTCTGGGAAGGCGAGAAGCCAGCTCAGCTGAGCCCGGCTCCTGGCCTGCTGTTGCCGGCCCAGGTTGGCTTGGGGCCCAGAAACGGAGCGTCTTCGGTTGGGGTACTTTGTGCCACCTCAATGGCGTGAGACCCATCAACAGAGACAGCCACAGGCCACCCAGTCACTCTGGGAGCGCGTGGGAGCCGAGCGGCTCTGCAGTGCCCGGCCCTGGGCTGGGTGCCGCGTTGGGGATTAGGCTCCAGCGTGGATTCTGGAAACGCAGGGGCCTGAACTGTGGCGGCCCCGTCCCCAGAAGTCCTCAGTGCTGGTGGGCACCGGACTACGGCCGTTGCAGCCCCGAATCCTGAACCCCTCAAGGCGGCGGAGATCAGGAAGGAGAGCCACTGGCAGAGGCCCCTGCTCCCTCCTGTCTACACCGCGCTCTGCGGGGCGTGAACGTGGCCGAGCCACACAGACCTGGACTGATCCCAGCTCCACCTCAAGGTCGACGTGTAGCCCTCAGCAGGGCACTAAGTCTCTGAACCTCAGTTCCCTGTGAAACTGTAGATGAGGAGTCGCTGCCCATGGGGTGCTGATGCAGAAAGTTGCCCAGCTCTTGGTATACAGTAGGTGCTTAAGAAACAGCTTCTCTGTAGCGGAGGAACCGTGTGCAGCTCAGTGAGGAGGCTTGGCCTGGTCAGAGACCGGGCTGCCCCCGCACACCCGTCTCGGAGGCTGATTCCCTAACGTCCCTTTCTGCTCAGCCTGAGGCCTGGACCCACCTGGTTCTCTCTGGCTCTGGTCTGAGAGCTGCCCTTCTCCCCCTCTGCCTCCACCTTCACATCAGGCCTCCAGCCTGCAGAATCCAGTTCTGGGTGCTCACAGCCATGACGGCCCTGAGTCATGGAACATTCCAACCTCCGAGGGCCCAGGGTCAGCCCGCACGCGTGGACCTCCCCACAAGGACCGCCCCACACCTGCCCTCGCTCGCCTTGGCCTTCCAGACCCTTGCACTGCTATAGGGTGAGAGCGCTAAAGAGTTACTCCGCTGCTCAACAACCCTCCAGGGCTCCCTATCACCCTGGGGATCAAGTTCAAACTTCTGTGTTTGACATTCCATCACCCTTTCCCACCTGGCAGCAGTGTTAGCTGTACGTCTCCACTCACGCTGCCCTGCTCCTGCCCCCAGGAACATCACACCCCTCTGCCTATACTCAGGCTGTTACCCCGGTGGCCAGGTATACTCTCCTACCTAGCTTGGCGCCTATGTTAGCATCTCTGTGATGCTTTCCCTGAGGACTCTCAACAGCCCCTGAGCATCCTCCCTGGAGGAATGTGCTGCCCTGCGTATCAAACTTCCAGTTTACTTTGCACCCAACTCAAAATCAGCACCTGGGCTGGTACACGCCTATAATCCCAGCGACTCCGGAGGCTGAGGCAGGAGGATCCCAAGTTCAAGGCCAGCCTGGGCAACTTTAGCGAAACTGTCTCAAATTTTTTTAAAGGCCAGGGAGGATTTTTTTTTTTAAAAGGTTGGGAATATAGCTCTGGGTTCAATCCCCAGAACACACACACACACACACACACAGACACACACACACACAGACACACACACACAGACACACACACACAGAGACACACACACACTATGCCTGGCCTCAAATCACACCTGATCGCATCATCCTCTGATCCAGCTTCATCTGTCTTCAGAGCAATTTGTAATCTATTCAGCACTAGAATGCAAACCCCCATGGGGTGGGACTTTGCCCTACTTGTGTCTGTATCCCCGGTACCTGTGAACGGAGCAGAGCAGGGCACCCTAGAGGCTGCCCAGTACGTATTTGCTGAAAGAGGAAAAGAAGAGCCAGTGGTCAGAGCCCTTTCAGGAGACTCGGGTCCGGGATGCAGGATGGCCTGGAGGAAGACGAGCTAGGGACTTGGTGGGGCGGCAGGGCCCAGGCCAGGGCTGGCCTCCAGGTGGAGATGCAGCTCAGGTGGAGCAGGGAAGCCTGGCTCCTCCACCTCCCAGCCCAGCGCTCCAGGGGAGCCTCCATCTCTCTGGGCGGGTTTCTGCCTGAGGACAGGTCAGATGACAGGTGCACAAGGGCCAAGTGAGGCTGCAGCTCCGGGAGAGCAGCAGAGTGAGCCCTGACCTTGGAGCCGGCCAGGTGGGGCTTCACGGCCAGCTCCTGCTGCTGATCAGCCACGTGCTCAGGCTCGTCCTCTGCCTGCAGAAGCCTCAGCTTCAGCCCCGTGGCTTGTTGGGGCCAAGCCAGGACGCACCTGATCAGCCACCTCCACTGACTCAAGGCACACCTGGGACACTCTGGTCACCTGTGCTCTGCTTCCCACCGAGGAGTCAGTCACAGGGGTCTGGCTCCTGAGCCTGACCTGGCCAAGACTTAGAGAAGGCCCAGCCAGAAAGACCCCTGGGCCATTGGGCCCAGTCCTTCATTTTATAAATGGGAATCTAGGCCCAGAGAGGGTGAAGGATTGTCCATGGACACTCAGCCAAGTGACTTCAAAGTCAGTTCCAGAGCCCAGGTCTCTTTATCCCCAGCTCAGCTCTTTCCATTCTACTCAGGCATGTGGCTGATCCTTGTTGATTAGCTACAAGTCTTTTCCTTCACTGAGCTACATCCCCAGCCCTTTTCATTTTATTTTGAGACACGGTCTCACTAAGTTGCCCAGGCTGGCCTTGAACTTGTGATCCTCTTGCTTCTGCCTCTTGATGAGCTGGGTTCATAGGCTTACACCATCTTGCCCAGCACAACACTCCCTCTTCAAAGCTCACCATGGACTCTACAGTCATCATGCCTGTTTAACAAATAAAAAATCTGAGACTCAGAGAGGGTGAACAAATTGTCCAAGGTCACACAGCAAAGTAAAAGAGGTCCAGAATTCAAGTCCATGCCTTATGTCTCAGAAGCCTCTACTCAGTATGGCCACACTATCCAAGGGGGGAGCAGATATGGTCATGAGTATTTGTAATGAAATGTGATCTGTGTGTTTTTGTGGATAGAGTCAAAAGCCCTGTAAACAGTTTGCTGAGGTTGCCTCGTTCACGATGGTCCTTAACAAGGTATTCATTGTTGGCCCCATTTCCCTGATGAGCAGACTGAGGCTCAGATAGGCAAATTCCCTGCCTAGTGTCCCCAGACCCCTGTCTGTTGGTCTCCAGAGCCTGTGCTCTGTCCACCCGAACAAACCCTGTCTCTTAGAAGGTTCTGTACAAATTTCGGTACATTCCATCCGTGCACATTTGTTGCACCCCCACTGTGTGCCCAGCCCTGTCCTAGATGTGCTAGGAGTGGAAATGAACAGAACATCATGTCTGTCCCCCCTCCAGCCAGCAAAGAGGTAGATTTGGGGTCCGCAGGGTGCTCTGCCTCATGTCCTCTTGGTGACACTGCTGGGGGGGACTTTGGCACAGGTCCAGCCCTCCCCCCATCAAGTACTCCTGGAAAAGGCTGAGGGAGCGAGGCTGTGACAGCTTCAGGCCCCCAGGGCTGCCTTGTCCTCCCAGCCTGGCTCTGACTCATCGCCCACACCTGGCAGTGGCCTGGGGCAGCGTGGGGAGGGCCAGGCACCTGCACTCTTGGCTGCAGTTCCCACCCTCCCAGCCAGGAAGCAGAGCAAGGTCACCCCTGAGTCCCACCTGACATTGCTGGGCTGGGAACGCTCCTGGGAATGAGGCCCCCAGCTGCAGGGAGGCTGTCCAGGAGCCAGGAGGCCACAGTGAAGTCCCACAATGCCTGGCGCCGCTGGGGCCCTCGAGGGCGGCCCAGCCCTGGTGCTTTGCATGTCTTATCAGCACTGCACTCTCACGGCTCCCCGGGGAGCCCGCTGCACAGAGGAGGAACTGCACATCAGCGGGGCAAAGGGACCGGCCTGAAACCCCCGTGTTAGGCAACATGGGCCTTCCCCAGCTCCCCACCCAACCCGGCTCCGGTGGCTCTTCCAGGCCAGAGGAGCCGGCTTGTTCCCATCTTCCCCACCCCCGCCCGTTGCTGTCCATCTTTGGCCATCTTTAGCAAGATGTCCCTTCTTATCATCAGAAGCAGAAATCACACGGTTCTCCTCCTTTCCTCCCTACTTTACTCAGCCCTGCCCCGCCCTTCAGTCGGAGGCTGATTGTGTTCTCTCTCTGTCTGAAACCTGCAGTGGCTCCCCATTGTCCCCAAGAGAAATTGTCTTCAAGGACCTTCATGAACTGGGACCTGCCCACTTGTCCAATCATGTCACTCCCTGATCTCTGCTTGGACAAGATAGGGCGCCCCTCAGGCCTGGCTTTCCTGGTGGGGACGACGACAACGCCTCACACAGTGATGAGCTTGAGGAGGCAGATGTATGTGGAGGACCCAGCGGGCACGCACTCGGCGCTGGCTGGGGCTCCTAAACCTCCCTGCCCTCTGACGGGAGGAGCGGAGGCTGGGGTAGAATCACAGTGTGCCACACAGACTCTGTTTTCAGCCCAGCTGGGACCAAAGGCTTTGTGGTGGGTGGGCTCAGGACTCTCAGTGTTACTGAAATTCATCATTTCTTTTTTTTTAATATATTTTTTAGTTGATGGTGAACACATTACCTTTATTTTATTTGTATGTGGTGCTGAGGATGGAACCCAGTGCCTCATGCATGCTAGGCAAGCGCTCTGCCACTAAGCCCCAGCCCCAGCCCCTGAAATTCATCATTTCAAGAAATTCGGGCCCAGTGCACCTGAAATCCCAGTGATTCGGGAGGCTGAGGCAGGAGGACTGCAAAATTCGAGGCTAGCCTCAACAATTTGGTGAGATTCTGTCTCAAAATGAAAAGAAATTTAAGAGGGGAAAAAGATAATAAAATTAGTTCAGTGATAAATTTTTAGTATAATTTTTGATACCAGTATAAAGGGATTCTGTAAATATTGATATGGGTGTGTTTAAAGGAAGAAAGAATTTGGGGGCTCTGGTTTGTCTTCAGAACCCCCCAAGGGGTCCACAAGGGGCATTGCTGGCCAGGTCCTGAGTGGTACCAATTTATGTGAAGGGCAGGTGGGCAAAGCAGGTTTCCTCCATATTGCAGAATAAAGCCCTGCTTCCTGGAAAAAAAAAAAGGGCTGAGGATGTAGAGCGCCCCTAGGTTCCATCCCTGGTACTGCAACAAAGAAAAACATCGTGAAGTTTCAGAGTAACGGTAGCTGGAACCAGGACTGGGTTGGTAGGTGGAGAAACTGGAACCAACTTTCACAATAGGGTCACTTTTTATCTTGACCCAAGCTAGAAGGTAGATATCCCCCCACATAGAAAGGAAAACTGAGGTCAGAGGGTGGAGGTCCACCGATGGTATCAGGGACAGGACCGGGTCTGCTAACTGGCTGTGAGGCTCTAAAGGCCACGCTTCCTCCTCTCCTGCAGCAGGGCCCAAGCTTGGAGGATGGAGAGGATCTGCTGAGGACAGAAGGGACAGGGGGACAGGGAGAGGGGGATGGAGAGCTTGAACAGAGGCCCAGCCGCAGATGGTTCCAGAATTCCAAGCAGAGGCAGGTGAAGCTGCTGGGTAGATGTCATCCATGATGAGCAGAGGAGCCTGGCCTTGACCCCCAGGGGCCTTCAGGTCCCAGGGAAACTGAGGACCTGTGCCTCGCCCCACCTCCACAATGCAGAGGGCAGCGAATGGCTGGAGGAGGGCTGAGGGGAGGAGGGAGGAGGCCCAGGGTGGGCAGCAGCCACCATCCCTCTGCTTGGCACCATGTCCCCACCGCCAGCCCTGCCTGCGGTGCAGGAGGGAGTGGCTAGGCTGGGGCTGCGCTGGTGGCCCTGGTGCCTAGGCCACAGAGAAGCGCTGGGCCTCGCAGCTGTGATGTCAGCCGGCCCTTCCTTCCTCCTGCATGAAAAGGTCACCTATTTTAAACTCTTTCTCACCCCACCCTGCCCTCATCCCCCAAAGAGGATGAGTTTTTCTAACCTAGAAGGACAGCTCAGCTAAGTCTCCAAACAGCTCTCGCCCACCCACCCAGCCCCCCAGGAGGGCCCGGGCTGCAGGAGCCCAGCTTTAGTTTGTTTTGTTTTGAGACTGAGGATGAAACCCAGCAGCACTCTACCACTAGCTGCATCCCCAGCCCTTTTGAGACAGAGTCTTGTCAATTGCCCAGGCTGCCCTTGAACTTGTGATCCTCCTGCCTCAGCTTCCTGAGTAGCTGGGATCATAGGCGTGTGCCACCTCACTTGGCCTAGTAGCTTTTCATTTAATAAATATTCTGAGCATCTGCTCCTGCCAAGAGCCAACCTAAAGCCCCTGGGGACAGATCCCTGCCTTCTTGGAGTTTACATTTAAAAAAAGTGTTGAGCCAGGCCTGGTGGCATAAGCCTATAATGCCAGCAGCTGGAGAGGCTGAGGCAGGAGGATCATGAGTTCAAAGCCAGCTTCAGCAAATGTGAGGCACTAAGCAACTCAATGAGACCCAGTCTCTAAATGAAATACAAAATAGGGCTGGGGATGTGGCTCAGTGGTTGAGTGCCTCTGAGAGTTCAATCCCCAGTACCAGAAAAATAAAATAAAGTTTTGAGATTGTGTGGTGTCCCACGCCTCTGGAGAGGCTGAGACAGGAGGACCATGAATTCAAAGCCAGCCTCAGCAGATTAGCAAGGCACTTAGCAACTCAGCAAGACCTTGTCTCTAAATAAAATACAAAAAAGGACTGGGAATGTGGCTCAGTGGTTAAGCACCCTTGGGTTCAATCCCTGGTACCAAAAAAAAAAAAAAAAGATTTTGTTTTTAGGTACTAGAGATCCAAACCCAGGGCCTCTAGAATGCTTAGCAGAATTCTAATACTGAGCTATACTCCCAACCCCAGAGCTTGCGTTTTAATAAAAGAAAACAGGGTTGAGGGGTGTGCAGGACAGTGACAGAGCATTTGTGTAGCATATGCTAGACCCTGGGTTCAATCCCCAGCACCAACACCAGGAAGAAAAACAACAAGGACAAATAAACACGTCAACAAATACAGAGGCAGGGTAATTTCTAATGGTGGCCAGTTCCCCAAAGAAAATAAAACAAGACAAGAAGATAGTGACTGAGTGGCAACTTTAGAATGAGTAGTCAAGGAAGGCTTCTCTGGGGAGAGGACAAAGATTTGGGGAGGAACATGCCCAAGAGAGGAAACAGCAGGTTCAAAGGCCCTGGGGTGGGAATGGGCAGGGAAGTTAGAGCCTGGTTCTAAAAGTGGGGTCCCCAAGCCAGCAGCCTCACGGTGGGGCGGCTCGTCAAAAACATACACTTTCCTGAGCGGCCTCAAACTTACTGGAAACTCTGTGGGTGGGAGCCAGCAAACAAGGCTTTTAACAAACCCTCCAGGTGGCTCTGAAGCACCTTCAAGTTAAGAATCACTGGTCACAGCTCAGAGCCACCTGGCTGTGGGGTGGGAGGCCACAAGGTTAGCCACATGGGATCCTCAGCCTCACTGCGGCTTGTCCATTGAGGCCCAGCCTCGCCATCCTGGCCACTCAGAGCCCTGGGAGGCTCTCCAGATTTCCTGTTGGACTCAGGAGGCTCCTGGAGACCCGCTTCCCCAGCCTCCAGCCTCCCCCCTCCCTCTCCAGGCTTACTCTCCTACTCACCACCGTCCCCAGCCTCGGACACACTGTCCCTTTGTCTAGAATACTTTCTCAGCGTCTTCACTTGGCTCATTTGCACCCATCCTTCAACACATAACCCAGAATTCACCTCCAGGAACCCCTCCCTCTCTGATGGCCTGATCAGGGTGAGAGGCCAGGGCCACTCTGCCCCCATGCCGGCCGGCCAGCCCTGCGCTGCTCCTAATGCAGCATTCATCACATGGTGTGGCATTACGGCGGGGAAGGAGAAGAGTTCCAAACATTCCTCCTTGGGGGGCTGAGGGTGGAGCTCAGTGGTAGAGCACTTGTGGTGGGTGGGCCCAGAGACTCAGTGTTACTGTCCCTTACACACACACACACACACACACACACATATTTTCCCTACTGAATTATACAGATGATACATGAACTTGCTTTTATTATAAAAAATACAGTACAGCTGGGCATGGTGGCACACACCTGTAATCCTAGCAATTCAGGAGGCTGAGGCAGGAGGATCACAAGTTTGAGGCCAGCCGCCTCAGTAATTTATGGAGACCCTAAGCAACTTAGCAAGACCCTGTCTCAAAATAGAAAATAAAGGGGGCTGGGGATGTGGCTCAGGGGTTAAATGGCCTTGGGTTCAGTCCCTGGTACTAAAAAAAAAAAAAGTACTGATAGAGTAAAAGCCCTCCTTCTTCTCCTTCTTATTCTTTTCTAACCGCCCTGCCCTTTCCAAAAATAACCCTCAAGTCTAGTTTGCTGTCTCTCCATTCATACATTTTTTGATGCATCACAAACATATGTTTGTAATTGGAATCAGGTGGATAAGTATTGTTCCAAGACGTGTTTGTTTTTGACTTAGTGTCTTCAAGGTCATCTGTGCCCGAACATGAAGATTTACCTCACTATTTTTTTAACCACCTCTTAAGTACGAATGTTCTGTTGTTTTGAGGTCGTGCCCTAAATGTATTCATCACTCGTTTATTTATCCTGTATTTTATGATGCTTTGACATCCTCGGGCCTGGGAAGTCCTGAAGTGCTGCCCTTCCCAGAGCCAGCCAATTCCTGGCGGCAGGAAACAACTTGCTGGGTGTGGTGGTGCCAGGTGCCTGTAACCCAGCTCTTACGAGAGAGTTCAAGGCCAGCCTGGGCAACTTAGTGAGGCCTTTCTCAAAATAAAATAAAATAAGGGCTGTGGGTATAGCTCAGTGGTAAAGAAGTGTTCC